AACATGCAGCTCTGACCTTCATACACTAAGGCCAGCATCTTCTTAAAGGCTGTTCATCGCCAGCAGGGAGCCAGGTTGCTTCCCTGGAGCTCAGTGGCTGACTCAGACTGGCTAAAGGGCTGTTCTGTACTGTCTGGCATGGCACTCAGCAGTAAAACTGGGGAGTAGGAGGGAGAAAGGAGGGCCATTTGTGGCTAAGGCATTTGTCTTCCACCTCTTGAGTGTCACTGCTGTGCTTGCTGAGGCCCAGCTTTCCAGGAAGTGGATGGACACCTGCATGCTGATGGGAAGCTGTGAATCAGTTCCTTTTCCCACTCTGCTTGGGCACACAGCTTTTGCTTTCCCTATTAAAATGCCTTTGGCTACACCCATAAGTTTCCTCACCATGCTTCTGTCTTCTCTGCGTCCTGCAAGAGCAGGGAGTGAGTGCTTCACTGGTGCAGGCTTGTCTGTTCGCTGGGATCAGCCCATGGTGCAAGAATAAGTCTCATGCTGCCATCAGATGACGGGTTGCCCAGGTGTCAGCAGACTGCCTGGTCTTGAAGACTTCAGGCTCAAAATTGGTAGGTGTGTAATAGGCTTCTTTTCTTTCAACATTATCTCAGTTAAATTAACTGTGTTTTCAACTGTCAGACTGATGTAATTTTAGTTTCCAGTTTTTCTGTTTAGCCACTAGGAAACGTTGTGCTTATTCCTCTCATGCACAGCTAATGAATCCCCTTTCATGTTACTGTATAGCATTTAATTATAATTGCTTGCTTTTCCCAAGAGGTGGTTGCTTCAATTATTGCAAAAATTGGGAGGAATTAAGGTTGTACAGACAAACAAGACATAGTAATTTCCGTCTTTCAGGTATTTGGGTTTGTAGTCTAAATTATTTTCTTTAATTTTGTCTATTTTAGGCGGGTAGGCAAAGGCTAGTTGTAATGCAAAGAAGACTTTTTATATATAACTTTATGATCTTTCAAATATTGGTGTCATAAAAGGTTTCTGACGAGAGGTAACAATTTTAGTATATGGTTTTTAAAAGGAAGTCTTGGTTTGGGTGACATTTCAACATAGCCAAATATGAGTGAGTATTGCAAGTAGTGTAGAAGTGTAGATCATTAAGAGGAACAAAGTTTATCAAGTACCTGCTACAACTTCCAAAAAATCATTATGGTTTTTGTCTCGGAAAAGAACCTTTCTTCAGCTCAAAGTAGTTAAGGAAAGCAGATAGTGTTTTCTTTTTTTTTTTTTCTACAACATGGCAGAAATTTAGGCTTCCAGCACATAAATACAGTCTTGCTTTTTCTGAGGGGTAAAAGAGCGATTGCTGTCATGTATTGTCCATTATATTACAAATATAAGTAGAGAAAAACTATTAAAATCAGATATTGCAATTCTGAAAGCAGCTTCTCCCTACTTTACCCCTCAGGTTATGGTACACTGTTTGGGGTTTTTTAAAGACAGACATTGCAGGGGGTGGGGATGAGGGTGGTTGTTGGATGCTTAAAGTAGACTGTAGCTTGTGAGGTTTTTACCCAAACTGGAATAGATTTCTGCCTTTACAGCAGGAAGTACTTAGTCAGTTTCTGTGTCACCTACTGTGGAGCACCAAATGTAAATTTACAGCTTAAGCTCAATTTAGAAATGAGGATGCCACATGGATCTCTTAAGTAAGTCATGAGGGGTTTTGCAATTGCCTGTTTCAAAAATGGCAAAAGCAGAGGTTTTGAGAATGAAGGAATAGGAATTCTGTAATAGAATTACATCTGCCTTCCATTACAATATTTTCTGGTACCTTAAATATTGTTATCTGCAGTTTTTATGGTAGCTGAGCCCCAAGGTAATCAATCTTTAGTGGCTGTAAACCATCTTAGGCTTGTTTTGTTTCCCTTCCTCTCCATTTGGAAAGGTATGTGTTTACTGGTGGCAGGCCCTGTGCACAGTTAATGGCACAGTATTCAAACTGCCAGCACAGCTTGAAGGCTTCCTTTGCTTCCTCCTTCCTATATACCCGTCAGCTTTGTATGCTTGGAAATGCTTCTTGGCGGCTGTGGAGCTCAGTTTGAAGCACCACTTTGGCTGCACCAAGGATGAGTGCTATGAGAGAAGAGAACATGCAGATGAAGAGCTTTGGGGTACAATCAACTCAGTGTTTCATGAGTCCTTTGAGTTGTGGTCCATGATTTCAGCATCCCTATAAAAATTCTCTGTTAACATCCCTATAATCTGTCTGTTAAAATACATATTGTGGAACAAGCACTATGGGACAGTGAGAAGAGAGCACTACAGGAGGTTTCTGTGCTGTAAGAGTTAATAGATAGGAGTAGGAGACAGCTAGTTTGCCACAGGATTCATAGGATAATGATGATCTCCACTGTGCTCAGCAAGTTAGATTGAAAAATTTGGCTCAGTGCTCTTTTCTTCTGTTGTCTTGGTATTTGTCAAATTTCTGATTTCTTTTATGTTCTTGAGCCATCGGAAAAAGAAAATCAGGATTTTGGTCCAGTGTTGAGCTGGGATTACAACAGGAAGGAGGAGTAGAGACTGATTACTTGTCCTTTTCCTATCATCCCTGTCTTGCTCCAGCAGTTTCATGGTTTTACTCTGCAGTGAGATGTCAAAGTTGCTTTCTTTGAGTCAACATGGTGCACCTTCCTTTGAGCTCAGCTCTCTGGAAGAGCTACTAGAATTTTCTGAAGAATGCAGTAAATTACAGGATGAAATTATTTACTTTTCATTATCTGAAGCCCTTTTCAGTAGGAGAGAGGCATTTCTCTTTTCAGATGTCTCTAGCTTCACAGAATTTTAGTTGCCTATTACAATAATGGCACTAGCAGAACCTAGCAAAAAAAAAAGAAGAAAAATACTGTAGTGGAAAATACCATTTTATTGTAGGAAATACTTCTAGCTCCTGCTATAATTAGTTGGTTCCACCACTCTCCCTAAAGCCACGCAGGCAGTTTTACAGTTGCCAATGTTTTGAAAATTTTGAAATACCCGAGTTGAAAATTAATGAACTGGAAGCTGCCAAAACTGAGCCATACTTTCTGTTTTCCTTTAATTTAACTTCAAAATGTTGGTCAAAGCTGTCATTCTGTGAACAGCACTTTTTCATCTAATGACAGTTAAAAGATTCTGTGCAAGATGAGGAATAGATGTTGATTTTTCCAGGTGTACAAAGAAGTTGATGTTGGGCAGCGAAGAAGCAGCTAACAAACTTTGTGCCCTGTACCTAAGGAGGTGTGAAGAGCATAGGGAAAAGAGGGGGATGAGCTGACAGAAATCAGAGCTTTGTTGGCATCTCTCCAAAAATTTCTAGCCGGATGCATTGGCCAAAGGGAATAACACACATAATTCACTCATCTGGAGAGACACATATCAGCACTTCAGTCCTACCTGAGATGCAATTAGTTGCCAAATTGCATAGGGGTTTTTTTTCAAGTATGTATCTTTCACTGTTATTTTTTGCTTAGCTGTTGCTCCAGGTATCTGTACAAGTCATGCATATACATGATTCAGATAAATTCTCATCACTGAAAGCTTTGGAAGTTGTTCAGGAAGATCTCAAGTCTTGAAAAGGCTGATGATCCAGTTCTTTGTCAGCCTAAGCCAATTTGGCTGCCAGCTTCCCAGGCTTGCCCTGCTGCCTCTCTTGCCCTGCGTTCAGGCTGTGAGCTCGTCTGACCTTAAGCTGAACCTGTTCGGAGCACAAAGCTGGCAGGAAGCTGTGCACTTCGCCTGAGATTGTTTCCCGCTGATTTAGTGTGCTGAAATAGTTCAAAGATGCTGCAAAGGCATGAGTAGAAGCACATGGTCAAGCCTGAGGGGAATCGAATGGGGATGTAGCTGCCAACATTTAGGTTAGCTCAGAATGCCAGGCTGGAGGTGATAGGTAAGGTAGAAAAATGGTAACATCAAGAAGGGCTTAACTGCCCTCAGGTCGGAATTGATCAAATCTGAGTTCCAGCAGCTGAAATCTGGATGGAGTTTCCCTCCTGTGCTCATGAAGAGTGTGAAAACAGTGATGCTTCCAGAGATGTACTCTTAACTGCAGGGTAGAATCTGTAGGGGTGGATTGTATACTTTGACGTTGAGCAGGGTTTATTTTTTTTAACTTGGATAAACTACCTTCACTGAAAAATAATTCCTGCGGTTTTGGAAATTACTTCCCATTTTTTGAGAGTCTGGATATGTTGCCCTTTTATCTCTGTGATGGTCACTGGCCATTTTTAGACCGTATTTGGTATTTTGTTTTCTGGCATCTTTGAGATTAAAGCCAAACTGAAAATAATAAGAAAGTGCAGTCACACACACAAAAATATCTCCTCCCATCTCCCATTTGCTGAAAGGTGAAGTGATTTTGTTTCCCTCATCTTAGAAATAATACAGGTTGTTGTTGGAAAAATTTACTGCTGA